AGCGCATATTCAACAAAAGTAAAGTATGGAGGAAGTTAAACGAATCATTGCGCTAATCTTATATTCAAGCATTGATAAAAGTGATAATAGATAAGGTATGATAAAGCAAGGTGAGGTTTTACTAATTTTTAGAGCTATTATTTAAACTCATGAAGTAGTATCCTCCAAAACTTGGCGATACTAGTTAGGAGAAAGTAATTTGAGAGAAGGTGGAAGAGAGAGAAAGAAAGGGAAAGAGAGAAAGGATACAAAAAGAAAGAAATTTAGAATTGTATGAGTATGATGCATAAAATTTTGGGAAAGCTAACGATATTTCAATAAAGAACTTTCGTGGATAAAAAATTCTCATTCATTTCATTCCCATTCAATTAACTACTATGTCTAGAGAGAGAAGAGAAAGAGAAATGTTATGGATTATTAGTGAGAAATGAGAAGATATTTACCTGGCTATTAGTCCTCTCAAAAAGAATCTTATTTCAAACGTAACTTGCATAAAAGTATTTCAAAGAGAAAGAAAAAAAAAAGGGCATTTAAAAGTGTGAAAAGAAGAGAGCAGACTGTCTACGCAGCACACTCATCTCAATGTAACAAAATTGATTTTAGATTATACAATGTTTCTAACGTGAATTTTAAATGTCTCCATGATTTTTTTTTTTTTACTTTGATCATTTGCTTGTGAGATAGGAGGAAAAGGTGCATTTGAGTATCCTTTTCATCTGAAAAAGAAAGTCTTTTTACCTCAGTAACAGAGAATGCCTTTTCATTATTCACTCCCTCAAACAAGGAAAAGGCTCTTTCTCTTTCTTCTTCTCTCTCCCTCTCTTCATTTCTCTCTCCTTTCTAGTAATAGACATATATCTGCGTAAATTCGACATCTCCTAAGCATAAACTATTACTGACTGAATCTTTGTTAGAAAAAGATATCAGAAGAAAAAGCATCTTGTGTAATTTCATATACAAGCCAACAGAGAGACACATTATTATTTCATTCATATTTCACAGTTGCACACTTCACGACAAGTAGGATGGAAGATTGGCTCATTGTCATTATCACTAATCATTATAGATGATACGATGTTAGTACCTATCAATCTTTTGTAAATTTTGTTTACTTCTCGATATGACATAATTTGTTGTTTAGGACTTAATAATATTTATGGAAAACTTAGTGAGAAATTAATTGTAGCTGAAGAAGCAGTGATCATTGCAACAAGATGATCCGGTGTATGACGGTTATGATCATTAGGATAAAACGGAATACCTGATGATCAGATGCCAACAGAATGCTTAATGTTCGGATTGAATCGAAATGATGATAATACTAAAATATTTTCAATGTAGTAATCATACTGTTCAAGTAACATCTCTCTCTTCTAACAAGATCGTAAGAATATGTATTCGTAACTGCTACTGTCTGTAATATATCCCTCATAAACTTATTTTCATTTCTGGGAGGAAAAAGAAAAACAATAAATGAAAAGAACTGTCATTCTTTTGCTTTCTCAAATATTGTAAAAGAAAAGAAAACCCATTTCTATGAATTCTTTTTCTGCATGTTACTTATAAGTTGATCAATGCATATTCTGATAATACCATATTCCATCCATTCATCCAATATGATATTTAGTTCATCCTTCCACTCATTCAGCTTAAGTTACTAATCTTAATAAAATCGAACTATTAGGATTCATTTCAAAGTCCTATTTCCAAATATTTGCTCGTTTCTATTTCTATGCTATCAATGCGATAAATGATCACTTATTTGTCATTATTTTAAAACAAAAAATTGGAACATTTTATTTTTCATTTCCTTCTCTTTTCCGCTTAATGGATATAGTAACTGGGCGGAAAAGGTACAAGGACATCAAGCCAAGCAATCATAGTGCTAGTGCTAGTGTTGTTCTCTCCATCATTATTGCACTTTGCTAAAACGTCCATTCTTCCAGCATCACCATGCGTAGCTTTTTTATTTATATATTGAGCAAAAAAAAAGACTAAATTAAACCTTTGGTGAATGCATACATCTTTTTCCTTCTAATTTTATTTCGAAGCATTTCTCTGTGCTACTACAACCTTATGCATTTTTATTTCGTAGCCAACGTATGTGTGTGTATATATTTATATGTGTGTATGTGTATGTGTGTGTATGTGTATGTGTATGTGTATGTATGTTGCACATAGTGCAGGTGCACTATGCAAAAAAGGTGTAGTGATAAGAGAGAAAGAAGCAGAATACCACCAAGAACGCTTCAGCATGAGAAAAACTCTTCCCACTTTTTTTTTTAATCCTGAACGTCCATTTCACATCATAAGTTACACTGTTTTTGATCCTTACACTTTCAATGCTTCTCCTCCTCCTTTTCTTACAACAACAACAACAACAACAACAACAACAACAATAACAACAATAACAATAACAACAACTTCTTGTATTGAAAAATATTTTGCAAGGCAATGAATGATACTGAAGAAACTTTTCATCATTCATACTACACTCATCACATATCTTCCTTTCTAATAACTCATTACTATTACCTTATTTCTTTTTATTTCTCATTGTTATATGTATGATAAATATTGTATAAATAGTGAAATCAAGTCAATTAGTTTATAACTTTCATATTGAATCATTTATTTATTCTATTTATAATTTTGAGTTCCATTTTTTAAAATCTTTCAGTTTTTTTTTTTTTCACTAATTTCAGTTCACTAATTCTTCTTTACCATTAAATCCAAATATAACTACAGGTGCAAGAATTCCGTGAAGCAATGATACCAAACTAATATAATTATACCCATATAGTTTTGCTAGCTGGAAATATATAATATTTCCATGCGAATAAACATAGAATCAGGAACAATTCTTTTACATCATTTTAAATGTATAACAAATATCTAATCGAGATATAACTATGAATTCATGATAATTATCTAACAATCAAAAGCGTAACCAATTAACCAGATCAAACTGGCAGATTTAGTGATGCATATTATTTTGTGAATTTCTTTGTAGAAAATCCAGAATACGATTTCGTCTAACATACAAATATCATATCGTCAAAGGTAATCTGCATGAAATATTCGCGAAAGGTGTCGGTTAAAATTATAAACAGCATTATTTTGGAAATTTATCATATTAAACGAAATGAAATAAATAAGAAATTTCAATCCTGTTTTATTAACCTAAATACTGTTTGTCCAAATTATTTTATATCATATTTTCATAAGAAACAACTGCGCCTAGGAAATATCCATGGAGATATTGACTAAAATATGAAATGCATAATTGTTATTATGTATTACTATTGATAAAAGAAAAAAAAAGGAGAAAACCATTTCAATTCAATGTAAATTGAAATAAAAATGATTTGAAGTAACTTTTGATAGATGCGGACTATTCGTAATCATCGACACATTATGTAGGCTATCACTGTCTGTCTTAATCTTCCGGTCAACCGGTCTTTGCTTTTTCATTCGATTCTTTTTTTTCGTTTGAAATTTATTAAGCCACTTTTTTGATCTATTCAACATGACCACCATAGTTTGTAAATAAAATGAAACAAACAAAAGAACAAAAAAGAAAGAAAGAAAGATATGAATGTCAGAAATCACATCTGTTTGTATGACATAAAAAGTAGTAAAATTTTGTAAATTTTTATAAGAAACAATTGTTATAATCTTTCCTATAGCAAGCAAATCCAGCATTCATAAATTGATCTGTCGAAATCCAAAGCAATAGCAATTGAAAATGAACTTGAAGCTCGACTTTAGACACATACACGTAGAGAGAAAAAGAGAGAGGCAGGGAAAGCGAGAGAGAGGAAAGAACCCGACCTGGTAAGTAAGTCAGTTTTAATTTTAGATCGATGGCGCAGTGGCTAAGAAGACCAGCGTTATCGATAAAAATTACATCATTTCTCTTCCAACATTTCAAATTACCATTTTCAGTACTACTACTACTACTAATACTAATACTACTACTGCTACTACTACTGCTACTACTATATTGCTGCAATTCTTCTGTGCTAATCGTTTCTTCTAAACCTAATTTCAATATATATTTCATATCTTTTAAAACAGAAAAAAAGCAACTTTAATATAAACTGAAGCTCATATCTTTTAAATTTTGATATTGCACAAACAGCTTTTTGTGTGCAGTTATGCACGATACGTGTACGCACATCACATATGTGTAAATAAACGTGCATATGCTACGCCTACTTCTTATGAACAACTGAAAGAATGAAACGACCTGTTCAATAGCACGATGACAGCTCACTGTCACCTGTCACCATAAAAGAATTTCGAATTTAACACTCCGGCCAGCCGTTTTGTAAAAGAAACAACACGGCTCGGTTTCTTTCTAATATTTATTTCTAGTTATCATCTTATTGAATGAGGAGAGGAGATGAGTGGGAGGGATTAAGGGTGTTTCAAACTGGACAAGCTGGGAATATTTTGTTGTATCTTGCAGAGAGAGAGAGGAGGGAAAGAGAGAAGAATAAGGGATGATCATTTTAATTTACGCGGAAAATCAAACTATTTGTACTTTGCTGGATAATTTCAGGCATTCCAGTATGCTTTTAGGACAGAAATATTCATTAACGCTTCAAAAAAGTCCTTCTCTTTATGGTTTTTTTTTTAACTTGATTGAAGTGAATTTAAATTAGGAGTCAGAAAGATTAAATTAGATATAGCGCCGTAATTTATTTGATATTTCTGATACCAAAATCCTACTATTACCAGGACCGTAGTGGTGTGAATAGATTGAAGTTTTTTTTGGAATATGCTTAGTTTAGTCTATTGATTGGCGGCATACAATTAACATATTTATTCTAATGCTTCTGCGTGAATCGTGATCCTTGTATGAATCACAACTGAAATATTGCAATGTTGCTTATGTGTTGCAGGATTATAGTGAAAATAGCTGAAAGGAAAGGTGGACAAACATTATACTGGAGCCAAAACAATAGTTGTACGATCGTTTCTATGCAATTTCTATGAATGGTGCGCCAGGGGGCTCTCGGCAATCGCAGAAAGCACCGCCGGAAGGCGGTCCTATCCGCCAATCTGCTACTGTACGTGCCCCTACACAACAACAACCTGCTGTTTCGGTGGCTTTTTTTCCGCAACAGAATGAAGCTGGCCCTAGCTGTCAGGTCTTTTTTTATCATTTTCTTGAGGACGATGAATCGCCTTGAGCTTTTTCTAATATTTTTATATAACTTTTCTGATTTTAGCCCAGCACTGTTACGTCATCGCAGGCATTTCCTAGTATCGTGCAACAATCGGCCGCACTGAGGGAATCGTTTCCAGTGCTACATTCACCCGCTGTCCAGCATCCGATGGGTTGGCCGCCACAATTTGAAATGCAGGTAATCGCAAGCTATATTGAAAATTAGTTATTTGGTAAATATAAAAAGCGGTGCGCTTAGCAGTTTTAAAATTCAAAATTAGCATTATAATAAGCAATGGATGCATGTATAATCTTGCACATTTTGTATATATTATTTTGAATAACGGACTCTAATATATTGATACAGTTGTTTGAAATTTCATTCGTAGCATTGCTCTCTGAAAGTATGAGACAAAATGACTGAGATGGAAAATTTCATATTTGATTATTTTTTGGTTACTTTTTGTGTAAACTAATAGTGTTTTCTTACACTCGAAATGGTTTTGAACAGAGCAGTTGTTTGGGTTATGTTTTTTATTCACTGTTTTATTCTTTATTTTCGTAGTTTTATTCTTTATTATCACTGTTTCATATTAGATTTCAATTTTTAAATGTTCCCTACTTCAAAAAATAACTTGTAGTTTTCCGTTTTTCTAACTTTCGTCCCTTCTCCTTTTTCAGTTTCCGTCGAATAATTTTCCATTGCAGCATCTGGCTGATTCTGTTCATATTTGCTTCATTGAGATCCATTCTAAAGTTTTATTTCTTTCACATATTTCATTTCTTAGAATTCATTCAAATACATATTGTAGCTACTGCAGTCCGCCTCTTCACAAGTTGCTGCTGGGTTACGCTACTCTCAGCCATCAACGAGCCAGCAACCGCCATCTGGAACAGATATAACAGTGGGTGTATCACCACTTTCCTCTCTACCTTCTCCTTCCATTTCCAGTGCCTCATTATTAACGGGTATTGGTTTAAGCCCAGGCTCCGGTCCTGTTTCTGGTCCTAGTTCTAGTTCTGGTCCTGATCCTGGCTCATCTGGGCAATCACCACTTCAAATGTTGGGTGCAATGAATCCAGCTCTTTTGGCACAATATCAGGTCATTCTAGCTGCTGCTGCACAACAGCACCAAGCTGCTGTAGCGGCAGCTGCAACATTAGCTGCTGTATCTGGTGGACGTTCACCACAAATTGGTAAGTTTTATTCTCGCTGTTAAACAATACATTGGTTGTATATCATTTTTTGGATATGTTGCTTCTGTCATTCACGTAGATTATATTTTTCATCTCTCAGTACTCTAAACTACGACGGCGTATTTAAATCATGTCGCATATTAACATGTTTTCAAACATAAAGTCCTGGCATGAGATATTTTTCATTTACGTTAATGTCATAGCGTGAGTTAAGTCCGCAGATAATTTGAGTTATGTATTAGTTTATTCAACCTATTTTTACAATCAATGGCCAGAAAAGTGGTTCGGATTAACAACATACTGCTAAAAATATGGCTTTTATGGTTGAAATAGTTCAGTCAATACAGCGACATTTATTTTTAACAAACCACATATAAAAGATTTGCTTTGCATTTTTGAAATCAAATAATAGTACATTTCCAAAATCAACATAATATGATCATTTCAACTTCTGCAATTTTCAGGATCGCGTGTAGGTCCACCTTCGACGCCTGCATTATCTCTTGAGCAGAATTTACAGCGACATTTATTACAGTTACAACAACAGCAGCAACTTGCAGCTTCGGGTACTGCCATCCATTTACTGCCGTCATCACCACTGCATGGTACAACTTTAATGACGCAAATGCATGCTGCATTAGCTGCTGTTGGAGTATTACCACAACCTCCGCAGGCCTTGCCGACTCATACAACTGCTCAACCTACACATCCACGTGTAACACCAGCTGCCGTAACTCAGTCAATGCCATCGTTAAGTGCCGAAATAAGTTCACGTCCATCACGGGTTGAATTCATACAGCCTCACTTCTCTCGCGCGCTGCTGTTGCAACTGCGCGACAAGCTTTATTACTTGCTTCTACTTCTCATGCTGCTGTTGCTGCTGCAACTGTCACCACTATTCCCACACCTTCAGCATCTTCATTGCAACTCTCTACATCACAACCATACTCTCAAGGTTTTTTGTTACATTTTCTATGTTTTTTTTTTTTTTTTTTTTAAAATGGTTAATAGTTTATCTTACTAGGAATAGCAAATTGAAATGTGTATTGTAAAATCAATGTCACTTGAAGAAAGTGAGAGGATGTTATGGCTAGTGAAGTCAGTAAATTAAAATCTTTGAGTAATAAGAATCTTTTAGTAGTGATAGATAAGATATGAAAGCGCAGAAATATACTTCTTGAATGTATATGATTGGTTAATTAAAATATCAATAATCATAAGTGTTGTTGTGAGATCATTCTTTGGTAGTTATAAAGCCTAGTTCATTGCAAATATTATCGCAGAGGTGATATTCCTCCGTTATACTGCGGGCGAAGAAAGTTACCGACGCTGTTGCGTTTTGTTTTGGCATGCATCCTGGCACGATCTCCCAGTCCCAGAATACCGTCACTTTCATTTGTTTATGAGATAAGGGATTAAATTTCTAAGTTTACTTTTGTTTGAGCTTACTTTTATCCTGCAATATGTAATTCTCAATTTAAAGTATTGGAATTTAGTAAATGGCACAACAAAAATAGCGCTTGCATAATATTTTTTATAGCTCTTGGTCGTATTGTAATGATGCCGCCGCCTCCACTGCCTCGTGTTCGTCATGTCTTAACTCAGGAACGTCGCAGGTAATTGTATTGCATTAATCTATGAAAACTTGTTTGTTTAATAGATAATAAATGATTCACACGAAGTGCAGGAAAATTGAAGTCTTTTGAATCTTAAAGAGTAAAGAATGGCATTAGATGAAGTATTTTAGCGACATATCAATTTGTTATTGATTACCTAATCTGTTTGCTGGTCTTTTGCAAAACCATGATTCTTCATTCTTCTTATTGTTGCATATTTTATAATGTATACATTCAATTATATAAGTCCAATTTGTCAGTTTCAGCTCTATATTTCTCGATAAAATTGTAACAGTTTTCTCCTTACCATCACCTTATTTCTGCCATTTTTCATTTCCCTTTGCTTTCTTCAAACAGATTTATGCACTGAAATAGTCTTTTGTGAAATTGTGAAACGTTTACGTCGAAATATATGTGCGGAACAAAACACGTTATTTAAAATGCATGCTTTTTTAATTGATTATATTACGAAGTCACTTATAGTATGCTCCTCACGCCACGCCCGCATTTCGCCAGTGCTCCGTCAGTTGCTGTACCGGTGTTCGGAACCATCGTCTTTCCAAGGGAACATTGCCGTCACAACCTTATTATCCTTCTCACTTTATGCGTGGTTGGCTTAAACTCTTTTGTGTTTCAAAGTTATTTTCAAACTTTTGTCGACACGTTGCTTTTACCTTTTACAAGGTCAACCAATAATGTTACTACCATGTTGACTCGTTTTATATTTCTGGTGTACTGGAATAAAATTTTTTCAATACAGAGATTTTCCAACTGAAATTTAATTATTTAGAGTAAGCTCTGGATCGGTAATTAAATTGAGTGTATTACTTAATCCCTACACTTGTGATTGTCAAAGAGAGTGTATGTATAAGGTTCTAGTAATGCCTTACTATATTTAAATTTAAACTGGTGCATCATTTAATAATACTTTCTTTTATCATAGCTGATGGGATTCAGTTTTAGCTTTTATAAATTTCTTAAAAACATATTACTGGATTTATCTCATCCATATTAAAAAAAGAAGAAAAAAGACTACTTTTAGCCTCTCTGTATTCATTTTATACGTTTGAAAATTATTAGTTAGTTGGTTTTATAATATCCTGTTTCTGATTCAAATAAGTTGTTTTCTTTCTTTGCAAAATTTTGTACGAAAAATTTTGCATAGAAAAGTTAAGTGGACGAGATTGGATTCTATTGCCGCTCCGAACAAGGTATAAATTATCCGTTACAGGTTGACGTAAGAAGGATAATGTGTTTATAATAAAAACGTACAAAAGGAGTAGGTAAAATATGCAATAACTCACTTTAAAATTTCTCTTATGAAAAGGAAAATCAAATTAAACAGAACTCCTGCGAGTTCTTAAGATCCTTCTTAACGAAAAAATTTTTATATAATTTAAAATTAAAACGGCAAATACATCATTTGCATCTGCTTTTTTGTGCATTTATCCGTCATGGATGGCTTAAAACTGTAATTTAAAATGTTTGATTTTTTCGAATTGGTCAGTAAAGCTTTTGTCTAGAATTCAGCCGATAGCTGTCATTATTGCAGGTACAGTAATACGGCTACAGTCAGGCCAGTTGAAAAGAGTTGAAGAAATGAGCACAGAAGACTTTGTTCTATCTGCAGCAATGAAAACGGATCTCGTACTTTGCAATAGTAGGGTCATCCGAATTCAAGAAACTGAAAAAGATCGTCAGGTCCTCGTTACTTTTGCTGTTGGAGAGCAAAGAATTTTGGTAAGATTTTCAGGAAATTTCTAATAATATATTGAAGAACAGATTGTCATGGCATTAGTTTTTACAAGAGTGACGGGAAATACAATCGCCATTACCGGAAACCAGTTACACTGAATGGCCAGTGATTTTACTTTCCTGAGACCGATAGTTATTGTTTATTTCGGTATCATTTGTGGACAGATATTTCAGGATTTGATTCAAATCTGGGTATTAGATCAGCCCATTTGAAGATGAAAAATTTTTCTGCAAAGAAAGTGATTTTTTCCATCAAAAAAAAAAAAAAAAAAATTCTTGCTTCTTAGGTCAAATAATGATTTGCTTAGCATATTTTGATAATATATTTTCCATAAATTTGATTAGCATAATAATAGGTTTGAATTTTATGAAAGTGCATCTTATGGCGCAGACTAACATTAAAACGTTTTTTCCCAAAATAATCAGATTTTGAAAAAGTATATTTCTCTAAGTTCGTTGAAAAACTTCAGTTGATATTTTAATCACTTATCCTTTTTTCCGAGACTTAATAAATGAACGTTTGTCGTTGTTTTGTTGTAGACACACTCTTCCTATTTTACACGTTGAGTTTTTTTTGACGGTTTTCAGACCTGACCAATTATTACCTGGTGCAGTCATAAATAATCTTACCTGTACTATTAAAAATTTATGTTCTTAGACATCGATTTCTTAATATTATGTTTTTTTTGGAGACTCAATCTTTAAAAGGGTTTGGGTGATTTTGAAAATGTCTTTAGGTAACAATAGCGGCAGAAATCGAGCATCCCTACTTTGTGGTTAACCAAGGTTGGGCATCATGCAACCCGGAAAGGACGCGTGTTACATACGGATTAATTTGCAGACAGTTAAATGTAAGTTTTTATTATAATGAAAGCATCATGAAAAAGGGTGAAAACCGGTATGATAAGTATTACAAAAATTATATTGTTATTGCAATGCATCACCGCTGTACATTACCCAGCTGACTCAAGAAATTTTAATGTCAAACTCACGGGAAAGGAAGTACTGATACTTAAACTTATTTTAATACAGTTATATCAAGGTATTCGTTAATATGTTTGAAGCGATGAAAGCTAGACAAGGCTTTTGAGTGATTAGGTTTCGCACTTTATTTTCTTAGCTTTGCTGAACATAATATTTTTATTCATATTCGTGAAAGAGTTCACTGCAATGAGAACTAAATTGGTTTTTTGACAACAATAGGGCGATCGTTTTGTATCTTAAATAAGCACTTGGGAACTCGTTTAGTCGTGTCATCAAAACATATTTTACAGGTGGGTGATGTATGTATAACATTACGTCATGTGGAAGGTGGTGAAACAAGCGGAACAAGTGTCAGGAGTACCATTCGTCCTCATAGTAGCAGTAGAGGAGGATCAGTACCAGGTACATCTGGCATACAGCAATTTTCGCGGCCTGCATCGTTAGTACAAGCAACTCGTCAACGTTTACCACCTGTTATTCGTGCTGAAAGAAGGCCTGGTGTTCGATCCGCACCGTCGCATGAAATTCCGACCGAGGAGCTGGCATTACTTGACATGCGTCGACGTCTAAAGCGACGTAGACATAAATCAGCGTTGTGATAGTCGGTTTGTACAGCTACAATTTTTATCTTAGGTTGTAAATTAGATTTGATATAATTTAATACAAGCGAAAATTTCATTCAATGAATTTTTTTTGTTTTGAACATTTGAATGATGATTTAAAGTACTCAGATTTTATTAGCAGCTATGAAATCTCTGAATCTCCCCAAACCATTTTAAATAATTTTGAATTTGAAACTGTGCGTCTTTTTTTATTAAGAATAAAAGGTTGCCATAAAAATAATTGCACTTTGAATCGTGTATTTAAAACCGTTATAACTAGTTTGAGCAAATTTTTATTAATCCAAGTATTTTTATTAATTTTTATTTTTTACACAGATTTTTTATAATCTCATCTCTTAAGAATGTAGCATTCCCCATTAACGCTCTTGCTTACTTTTCAAAGCTTTTCGAAACATCATTGCAGTACACACTTGAGTTATCTTGAAATTCAAAGTAGACATTTTTGACTCAAATAATATCTCTTGAAATTCTAATCTGATATTTGGAACTCAAGAAAACCTCACTAATTTGTTTTTTTATAAATCATTTAATTGATTTTGAGTAAGTCAGAGAGAAATCACAGTAGGAAGTTATCAACAAACACGTAAGAAAGAGGTAAGTGTCAAAGTGAAGTGAAAATGGATATTTTTATTTTAGAACGATCTGTGCTAATTTAAAGCAGTAAGATTCAGCAATGTAGAAGACTGAGCAAATTCAGTTTTCAGCTGTTCCTTTTAATGAATTTTTAAAGAATTCAAGTTTTTTTTTTTTTTTTTTTCATTTACTTAATTCAAATTGACATAGATATTCTTTCTACCTCTGAAGAAAGCAGATAGGTGTGGAAAATTTTAAAGTATAAATATCTAAAGCATTATTAGAGAATGAAAAATTTGCGAAAAGTTTAATACCATTTATTTTGCAGTGTTTCTGTCACATCGTTTGGCTTCGAAATTATTTGCTGTAATGCGAGATTAAAGATCGAACAGTCACAGGGTTGGTTATTTGCTTCTAGTTTTTGCAGAGGACTTCTGGAAACATTTGTTGTGGCAAGTAATAAAAAGGGTATTATTTATTATTATTGCTCTACCGCTCTTATCATTTTGTCTTTTCTGCTGTTTTTTAGAAATCGTGCATGTATTTGTATAAGATTTTTGTACGATAATTGATAACTGTTAATAATATTAGTCAAAATTGTCATAAAACTTTCCTTTCATCTCTTTTTATTTTTCGATCATTTTTATTATTCATCTTATTCATTTTTTTGTTTAGTACAAATTTTGCTTAGATTAGAAATTCCACTAATAGATTAGAACTAATTGATTACTTTTATAAGCTTTCTTTTCAGTTAGGTGTTTATCTAATGACAAATTTAAAAATTCATCTTAAGAATGATCTGGTTATATTGTAAGGGACGAATTCTATTCTGAAAGAAATAGATTCCTAACAGAAATTAATTAGAGAAATATTATTAGTTCCAGGTTTTATGAACAAAAGTCGATAGTTGTTCATATGAAATTATTGAGCATACTATCTGCTTATCTGCATGTAAAAATTTGTGAAGAATAGTAACAGAAATTCCAAAACTTTTGAAAATTGGGTATTCATCCTTACTCAACATAATATTTTTTTTCTTTTTTTTTGGAAAACCTACAAGAAAGCAAAATTTGCTTCTCTGTCGAATCCATTCTGTCTTTCATTACTTTTTGAACAATTTTCGAAAATATCGAATGGTATTTCATTTTAAGTAGCTTTTCAGAAAAATAGCCTTACCATGTTCATGTTTGGGTAGTGTATTTAGCGGGATTTGCAGTTCATGCGCCTTCAGGGAATTAAAGATAGCGAACAATACTCTATCATTTTGCTTTCATTGAACAAGCTGAGTTTGTATTTCGAGGATCTTATGTCTGGTTAGGTTTTTTAATTTTCGTTCGGGTTACTTTTTGCATCTTTTTTGCTAGCAGAAGGATGACAGTACATGAATCTAAAATAAGAGGAGAAATACGACTTCAAAAATCTAGTGAGATTTCTGAAACACTGAATTTTTGTATTTGGGAGAAGCATATTTTCATTTCCAAAAACGGTATTTCCACGGTTAGAATTATTAGATTTGTTTAGTTGCTGCCTTTTTCATTGTCATTTTAATCTTCTCCAATATAGGTAATAATGCGCACATAGTTTGTCGTGTGTGTATGTTTGAATTTTTTAGCGTTCACTTATGAAGAGAAGAGAATTTCATGATCATTTTGGGTTAAACCCAACTAAAGGCATTGCCTGCAATGCATATGTTGCAGAGAAATAAGTTAGGACAAAGAAGGATAAAAGCTTTTAAAAACTAATCAGAGAAAACAATTTTAAAGTAGGAAATAATATATTTTATTTACAACTCGGGTTTGTTATATAGGCATTTAAATTTCTATAAGGATTAGTCTTTTTTCTATTTGGGAGCACCTTAAAAAAAATATAGGCACATCGAACTTCCGAGTGAAATTATGTTCAGTTTTTCGATTGTAGGTAGCAAGTATAGTAGACGAATCCCTTGTAACGTTCTATCTGTTAAAGCAGTATGTATCGATTTATTTTTTCCAATAATGCGATTAGCGGGTGATCTAGTATAAATGCTTAAAAGATAGTTGGTATTGTATACCTTTTCGGGGTATGCACACTCACTGTCGAACAGTTTTGGTATAATTTATGCCAATGTAATTTCTGTTCGACTTCATTCTTTGTGTCGTTCCGTTTCACAGCTGAACATTATAATTTTCTTTGTGATAGTTACTGTAATATTTCTATTAGTAGTAGGACTGGTAATGGTAGTAGTAGCAACAGATAGATAATAGTGCTATTGGTTTATGAAAACATTATTAACTGATGTTGTAGAGAAAAAAACATTCTATAATATGGCTGCTTTTTTCAGCAGCAATGGGAAGAAGTGGTAATTTTGAAAAAATTCTCTCGTTTTTTCAATCTTTTGCTCTAGCACCCACCATAGGTATATATGTATGTATGTATTATTGTGTTCATTATTAATTTCCGTATGTATTATTAATTTCCATCTCGAATGTGATTTTCAGGGGTTCCTTTTCATTTTTCGATTTTTTGTGTGTTTTTTGTGATTTTTTAAAGTATAATTTTGACTTTTTTTTTGTGTCGAATAAAACCAGGGCTCTAATTATACTGCTTTTCTCAGTATAATTTTTCTTTATCTTATTGAACCAACGGATTTTGTACATTCATTATACATGTCATATATGCTGTATGCAGGTGTACATTGAAAATTAAATTATATATATATATATATATATATATATATATATATATATATATAAAGATGATTTTATATCGGATTAATTGATTAATTAATTTCTGACCAGTTAGTTTATTAATCGCTAATTTCGCACTAATATAGGAAAGACTTATTACATAAGGGAACAATATTTACATGTAATATTTGCTGCGCCTGCCGTTTTACTATTAACCGATTTTACTATTATTTATTTTCATCTTTCTCCCTTGTTTTGTTTCATCTTTCCATTTTTTCTCTATTTCATTTTCCCGGTAGAAATGTTAGTTTTCGTGACTTGCTAACCTTTTCAGATTGCCAAAATATAACTTTCCCACTGATTATATTATTCGCTGTGATAATTTGCCATTTCTGTTTCTCTTATTTTATTTCTCCATCATTTTTTGTTTATGCAGGAGGAGAAATTCATATTTTATCAGAAATTCCTTTGTTAGCTTATTTCTTTCTTTGCTGCATCCTTTCTCTCTTTTCTTCGGTCTATGTATTCAAGTTTCTTTTTCAACGTGGTTTTATTATGTATATCAGGGAAAATTTAAATTGCTTAGAGTAGAATTTTCTGATTAAAGAAATTATTCATTGTGGTTCTTGCATTTTCTGAAAAAAAATTCATTCCTATGTTTGTATAAAATGAATGGTGCATATGAGCAAAATATATATCACACGAACCTATGAGCAGCAAATGCCAAATATGAAGTCATACCGGCCTACTTTTGGTTCGTATGACTTTACCCAAATTGCATTATTAAAAGTTAAAATTTGGGAATCCCAGTATTTTACCAGCAGTTCTGGTTATATTATTGTGACTATAATACGTACGGATCATTTATGTTTTGTAGAAGCCTTAATGGCATTTGTCTTAAATTCACCACGATTCTTTGTTTTGCCTCATTTTCACTGGCTTTGTGCTTGTGTGACTTATTTATATAGGATCTTTTTCATCCTGTGCATCACTTCCTTGCTTCTTTCTGTAGGGAAAGCCGTCCAGAAAAATCTAAATACGATTTTTTTTTTCTGAAATGGAAAGAATTTTCAGTTTCTAGCATAAATAATAAAATATGAAATAAGCAAAAGAATTTCACATACAATATGCTAAATGTCAATGTCAAAAATCAGAAAATACTTGGAGTTTTCAGAATCAATTTGAATCTGAAATCCATTTTTGCGAGCGAAAAGAATTTTAATGATTACAGTAAGACATGAGTAATACGATTTTTGCAGGAGTCATCACCAGGAAGCCAGTCGCATGTCGTTTTTTCCATATTCCAGTATAATTTATCTGGACAAGCTTTGGAGACCCATTTCCCATGAGCACATTGGTAAAATTTGTGACAGTCGTTTGGGTCTGCTCTATAACCAGTAGGACCACCGCTTTCCTGAAATTCCTTTTTTTTTTTTCATTGATAAACGCAAATAATACAAAAATACTTAAATGGATTATACACTCCTCTTTAAGAGAGTAATTTTGCATCGGTAATTAATGAAGATTTTAAAAACTAAATTTTTTAAAAATTTTTTAGGGATAATTCGCACCTTGCAAGTTTCGTACCTTTCGCCATCAATAACATTATCTCTTTCACATTTTCTTTTGCTAGGAATATAAACTAGGCCATAAGGACAGGAATATGATTCGAATTTACCATCACTGCAAATTTGATAAGCAGTGCGGTCCTGTTTATCAGCCTGTATAGTATCTTCA